TCCACAACACTACACGCATTTTACCCACGCACATGCACTCACACACGTACACATCCACACATATTAGCACGGATGCACCTCTCAGTACACATCCATCTATTAATGCGTTCTTAATGTGGAAGAGTTAAAATTTTAGATAATCCATTTATAAATGTAATAGAAAGTAAGTAATCAATATTGTTATTAATAACAATACGTGAGTATTTCGATAATTCTGCATACAGTTATAAAGCACTGCTGTTAACATTTAAACAATATGATATGATTAAGAATGATACGTATTATCAGCAGACAATGCTAATATGTTAGAGAAATTGAGATGTTAACATCCAATAATTGATCACAAAATAGTGTAAACCTTTACATTTCATACCCTCAATTCGTTTTCTTCGACATTTGTTTTTTATTTTTTTAAAAATGTTTAAAGGTGATTGTATCCTTATTAAAATTATATTATATGGTAGACATTTGCAAATAATATGCATTAATTGCTAAAATTAGATTTGCTAATTATCCGTTAGCAAAATTGCTTGAAAATAAGCATTAAAATTTTATACAGTTTTACGTCAAACCTTTAACCTTTTTGCACTTATCATTCAAAAAAAAAAATTGAGAGGCAATTTATCAGTGAACAGCTGGCAAGAATGGCGAACGTTTAATCGATCATTATGAGTCACTGATAAAATCAATTTTTTATCATAAGTTATCATTAGTTATTTAATTTTGGGTCCAAAAAGATTCCTTCAAATTGTTCAATTTTTCTATATATGTAGCTATGCATTATCACACTATCCTTTAAAATGACTAAAATTATTTCAATAAAAATAATGAAAAATTTAAGCAATCAGAGTTCATTAAAACTTAATCTACTAAACCTAATTTTAATTAATTGCAAATATTTTTTAATTAATCACATTCCTCCTTAAAAGTTGTTTTAAGAAAACGGAAAATTAATTGAGATATTAAATTTATAATTATCGAAACTTTTCGAAACACCTAATTCGGGTCTGATAATATAACGAAACACAACAAATACTTTGTTTCCATTTCTCTAAAATGTTTTGTTTTCTTTAAAGCAGGCAAAAAATTAAATAAACAGGTTTTCTTTTTTACTTAGAAAAAAAAAAAAAACGAGTTCTTTGAAATAAAGGGAGATGATATCAGCAAGTGAACTTTTTTTTTTTCTATCACTCACTTATCAGTGATTATTATGAATTTGAAATTAAATAATTCACACGAATAATGATTGTGAAATTATCACTGATAACAGAAGAAATTCATTTGATCATTACTCAAATGCTTGCCAAAATGCGATGACAAAGTAAATTTGTTTTTTGTTTTTTTGTTTTTTTTTTCTTACAAAGTATAAATTGTAAATTGATTGGTTATAATAAATTCAACTGTCAATTTTGTCTTGGAAAAATAGCAATAAATTAAAACATTCCAATTCTTTTAAATAAAATCTAATTTAAATATGAAAATTAACTATATCAAATAATAATTGTAATTAATTTTGTTTAAGAATATAAATTAAATTAGAAAAAGTAAGTAAGGAAGAATATGCGTATGAGTGAATGATTTTTCATTCCATTTTAAATAAATTTATTAGAAATCTTATAAAATGAATGAAATATGTGCAATGAGAATAATTAATTGAATTAAACAGAATAAAGATTGATAATGAGTATATATTCTGAAAAAAAAAGAAAAATAGTTTTATCAATTTTATCAAAGTTAAAGAAAAAAATAAAATAAGGAAAAGATCACAAGATAGGATCGAAATTTGAAAAAAAAAGGGAAAGAAAATATTTGGATTATTAAAAGAATAGAAGAAGACGAAACAATGATAAGAGAATTCGAGTACTATTCGCTCTTTTTGAATTGATAATGCTATCGTTAATAAAGTATTATCAATAATATCAACAATTGATAGAGTATTGTTGATGAGAGAAAAAAAAGAAAGCAAAGAATCGCATTTGATAAATGATAATAAAAAAAAAAACAGAATGAGAGAAAATAATAAATGATAAAGTTTTGAATTATTTCAAAATTTGTTTTTGTATAATAAACAATTATGATAATTTGCACAATAAATGAAATGGAAAGTAAATAAAACAAACAAATTGTTTTTTTTTTATTTCAAATAATGTTAAATTAAAATTAGAAATGATATAAAATAACAAATTTATTAAAATAAAAATTCATTTAGTAGTTTACAAGCGGGTTGTTTCAGCAGTATACATCGCATACGTGTTTGTTTACGTGTGTAAAAAATTTTCTCAACAATAAAAATTAAATGAAAGTTTTT